ATTTCATAGACAATATATTTCACCAATAGCTTATTTCACACTAAACTTAAGTGGTATGCCTTTTACTCCAACGTTTATGACCAGAATTGTTTTGTATGTGAAATGAGCTGTCATAAAAATATACTATTCATGATATAAACTTGTCTTTGAATTTATAATCGGCGAAATAATTGTTTTAATTAATTGACGTGAACTAAGTTGTCTATTATTGGTGAAATCATATTTAATAATGAATGATAATATCAGTGAATAAATCAAATATCTATAAGAAATTTCGGGCTGCTTCCGCGGCCCAAACTGTCTTACAGATACTTGATTTATCAGATATGCATAATATGTGCATTATTTTATAAATCGCTAAGAAGCATCTTATTTTTTTAGAAAGAACCGAGTAGCAAAGCCACTGCTGATCTAGTTTACAAGTTCAAATCATATTACAAAATTTTCTCATGATAATAATAATTTCTCATGGTCATAAATAGTAATAAATCGATTTCCACAATCTCTCTTTATGGCCTTTCGCCAATGTCTTTGGCGATCAGTGATTATCAATTCATTATACCGTTAAAAAATCTGATAAAAAAAAATAAATTAACTAAGAAAGTCAAAAAACAGAAGGCTAAACACATTCGGGTCAGCTATATTAACATCTAAAAGATGATTTTTTACCACAATTCGTAAGTTATCTTATTTGGTTCGCAATATATATATATATATTTTATTGCTATACTTCTTGATCATGATCATGTAATCTATATAAAAAATGTCAGGACAAATATTTTCTTTTTTGGGTTTTGGATAGAAATTTTTTATGTTGATCTCTGCATGAAAGAGACACAAACAGCCAAAAATGAAATGATCATATTACATATTACATCTAATAAATGTTGTACAATGGTCAGTCCAAAATTATAAAGTGTTAATAATAAATAATTAGCAATGCTGTTAATTGCTCAGCTGTGTATGTTGATAGATAATCTTTACTATAATGGCTACCAGATTATTTAAAGTACGTATTTATTAACTAGTTAAACTAAATGTATCATAATTTTCGAGAAGGTTAATTATGTGTACAAAAACAGCATAAACTATTGAAATAACAATCATATAATAATCAATCACCAACACAATACACTAATAAATACTAAATCAAAAATAATCCATTATGTATACAAATTATCCTATCTAGTTCTTATTCGATTTCCTACTTATATTTACTTGAACCATTTGTTAGCTATCTTCTCTTGTTCCTGGTTTCTAGCGCGACTGCGTCGTGTAGCTACCTTATTTACTTTGCTTTGCAATTATTTCTTGTTATTTACTCTGCGATGCTGAGGCAAAATTTTTAATCAGCATTAGATCCATGTGTTCAATATTTGATTATTATATCTGCACTATATATATGTTGTGTGGCTATCTTTTCGAAATTTCTAGAATACACTTTTGCTTTGCTATAAGTGAATACATGATGAATTGTTTGTTTGTACGCATGTTGTTTGTTTGTTTGTTTGTGTATTTGATTACATGTCTTATAATGATCTGCAATTCAGGGTCTAGGTGTGTCCCCAAAAAAAAACAGAAAAAAGTTTTTCAAAAGTGGTTATTTAGAAGAAATATATCTTCAACTAAAAAAAAGTTCTAACGCTTGTAATAAAAACTTTGTTGCTGTTCTACCAAAGTATATATATTTTTAGGTGCCCTTCCTTTTTACTTAAACTACTTTGTATTGTTTCCTATACCTAAAAGTGTTTTATGACTAATTTTTCTTTTGGTGCAATTTGGTGCAAATGATCAGTGGAGAGAGTTGACGATAAGTATGTCTACAAAAATGAAAAAAAAGTGTTTAAAACATTATTTTAATATTATTAAAAATAATATAAAAATATTATTATTATATTTTAAAATAAGCTTTTTAAAAATATTTTTAAAGCATTATTTTAATATTATTAAAAATATTATAAAAATATTATTATTATATTTTAAATATATTTTTAAAATAAGCTTTTTAAAAATGGGTTTAAACTATTATTAAAAATATTATAAAAATATTATTATTATATTTTATATTAATAGCAAGTTCTGTCATATCCAATACAAGCTGTGTTACTATAGTAATAAGTTCTTTGCAATGTTTATTTTTTGCAGCAAATCAAAACAAAAACTACAATTAAAATACAAGCTAACTCAACCATTACCTTATACAATCTTGAATAAGCAGAATTTTATACTATGTTATTTAACCACATAGTGTATATTGTAGAAATAATTAAGTTCTATACTAAATTTTCCTGACAATTTAACTTTTAACTATATACTGTGTATACTGCAATAGCAAATAAGTTTACAAGTAATTTGCGATAAAAAATTATGAAAATTTCAATATAAACTAACTCAATTTTGACCAAATAGCAATTAAAGTTATGTAACAAAATTTTTATAGTAACTTATAATAGAAACCTTGTTAGTTTCATTGCAATCTTAATTACATATCTGTGTTAGTGGAATAGTGAGTAAGTCTACAGAGTTTTTTACAGTAACTTATGATCAAGATTACGATGTTCAAACTAACACAACCTTAATCATATGCTGTGTCACTGGAATAGAGAGTAAGTTCTTCAGAATTTTTTACAATAGTAATTCATAATTAAGATTATAATAATTTCAATGCATACTAACCCATATTGTATTTACCAATGATTAGAATTCCTTAACCACGTACTGTGTGTCACCGAATAATGCAACAGAATTTTTACAAAATCTTATATGATAGAAACACGTATGTACAATAATTCTGATGTTCAAACTAATGCATATACTATGTATCACTGGAATAGAGAGTAAGTTCTACAAAATTTTTTACAGTAATTCATGATTAAAACTACGATAATTTCAATGCAAACTATTCATATTGTGTTTACTAGAATAACAAGATGATAGAATTCCAATGCAACCTACTTTAATTTCAACTTAACCACACACTGTGTTACCGGAATAGCAAGGTAATAGAAATTATGATAATTCTAATGCAAACTAACCAAATCATATATCTTGTATTACCAGAATAACAAATACAGTAACTCACAATATATAAATTTTGTACGTACGTACATTTGTACTAAAATTTTATAGTAAATTATAGATCATAATTTAATACAAGCTAGTTAGATATTAAATAAATTTCATTAGTTATATACTGTATATATGTAGTATATATAATAAATATGAGAATATAGCCACCAGATCACAGGGACCCATAAAATTTTAGTTTTAAAAAACTCGAAATTTTTTCTGATAACAAAATAGCAAAATTTAGTTTAAATTTAATAAATTTTGATTTAAATTTAATAAATAAATTTTAGATAAATTTTTAAGTTCACTCTTTAATACTTAATAATTTATTTAAATTTTGCCAATTATGAACCAAATCACACTAAGTCATATCTATAGATCACAACATCAATACCCAATACAAACTAGTTAAATAAGTTAAGTTTGTATAAAATTTTTATTAAAATAAAATACGTATCACTGTTAGATGTCATTTTCAAATTTCTGTCAATTAAAAATTGATGTACATAGCTTCGAAATTGTAAATTAAAGTACTTCATATTTTAATTGATTAAAAAAAATTCGCAACACAAATCAAATTATTTTTATTAATTATTGCATTTAACTTCTATTACAATTGTTAAAATCCACATGTTGAAGATTAAACAACTGCTAAGCGCTATATGATTTTTGCATGTACCTCAGTGAATACAACCACAACAAAAAGTACAAAGAGCATGGTTCTTACGACAAGACAACTCCAACTCCCTACTTTCACAATTTGGTTTTGTTGAGTACCAGCATTTCGTAAAGTAAATTTGCTATTGAAATTACATCATGTTCAGGAAATTCATCAGTACCTAAGGGTTCTAATTTGTTTGCTGAAAACTAATATATCCAAAATTCCCAAACTTGCTTCTAACTTGATATGAGTTGCAATGCTTGTCTATCCATTTTTAGCCTAGGTTTCAAATTTAACCTATGTTTTTTAGTATTGTTTTTCCATTAAGATTATAAATCATTTGACAGTTCTAAGTAATGTCAATTTGCTACTACTATCAGATTTAACATTCAGTCCATCGATACTTCCAACTTTAATTAATTTAAAAGTATTAAGAAGCCAATATTTAAAATTCAAATATTCATGCTTACTTGATGGGTTCGTAAAATGGCCAGGCAATGATTATACTTTAAACGATTCATAATTTGTCTTTCGTTTTTCTATTATTCATGTTATTATCAATGATTTTTTAAAAGCTTTGAAATGAAAGAAACGAAAAAACTGGTGAAGAATTTGAAGCCATATTATAGAAGATAAAATAACAGAATTTTTTTATAATCAATCTAATTTATTAAACTCATATATTAAACTTCAGTTTAATTGACATAAGTATATGCGTTACATATTTAGTATAATTTTTAAAATTACATATGTTACAGTATAAATTTTAAACTCAGGTACGTATATTAATTGAGCAATGACTTGCATTTTACATACACATAAAACGAGCTTTAAAATTTTATGGGCTCCTAGGGGTAAATAAATAGCGATCATGATCTTTTTTTTTTTTGTTTCAATTTTTTGATTTTAAGATCTTTGAAAAAAAATTTTCTTCACGCAGTTTCTTGTTGATAATTTCACGTTTATTTTTTTTTTAGGCATTTCTTTTAGGTTGTCGTAGGTGTCGTTAGTGCTTTTTGGTTGTCGCTGGTGTCGTCGATATTGATCATCGTTGGTGTCGTCGCTGATGTTATTACTTGACTATCGTTGGTATCGTCGTTGTTTATGGCGCGTTCTTTTTAATAGGCTGTAGTCATTTTGTTGGTGTTGTCTAATTTTGGTTTACTTTGTTGGCAGTTTAACCATTTGCTGTAGTCATTCATCATTTATTGGTGTCATTTCGTTTCAGTTTGTTTTTTTTCTTGCTTTGCATGAATCTTTGTGTGCATTATTAATATTCTTCTTTCTTTTTTGAAAGTACCCTTGCCATTGGTGTCGTTATTATTGGTGTAGTATATATTTTCGTCGCTGATTTCATCATTATTGGAGTGGTGAATACCTTCGCTGTTGGTGTCGTCATTATTGTATATTGTTGGTGTTGTTAGTGGTTTTGTTTTGCTTTTCCTCGTTTGCTGGTGTCTGTTTTTTATTAGTGTAGTTTATTGACTTCGTTTCGCTTTATGTCTTGGGTATTTTAAATATGTATACTTTCATATCGGCTTGTTTTTTTTATTGCTTTGCACGAATCTTTGTACGCATTACTAATACTCTTCTTTCTTTTATGAAAGTACCCTCACTGTTGGTGTCGTTGTTATTGGTGTGGTGTATATTTTTGTCGCTGATTTCATCGTTATTGGAGTGATAAATATCTTCACCATTTTGTGTTGTCATTATTGGACATTGTCGGTGTTGTTAGTGGTTTTGTTTTGCTTTTCCTCATTTGCTGGTGTTTGTTTTTATTAGTGTAGTTTATTGACGTCGTTTCGCTTTATGTCTTGGGTATTTTAAATACGTATACTTTCATATCGGCTTGTTTTTTTTATTGTTTTGACAAATCTTTGTACGCATTACTAATACTCTTCTTTCTTTTATAAAAGTAGGTGTCGTCGTCATTGGTGTGGTGTATATTTTGTCACTGGTTTTGTCATTATTGGAGTGGTAAATACCTTTGTTGTTGGTGTTATTACTATTGGAGCCGCGAAATACTATTGTTGGTGTTGTTAGTGTTTTTTATTGTTTGCTTTTCATCATTTGCTGGTTTATTGGTATAGTTATTTGTCGTTTATTGACGATGTTTTGCCAGTATTGTGTTGTCCTCAACTTTGTTGATATTATGTTTTGGGGTATTTAGATATGTATATTTCTATCTTGGGTTGTTTTTTTCTTGCTTTGTGTGAATTTTTGTATGTATTACTACTCTTTTTTCTTTTACAAAAATACTTTTGCTATATTTTTGTCATTGGCATTATCATTATTGGAGCTCAAAATATTATTGTTGTTGGTTGTTGTTGTATTGTTATTTTGTATTAGTTAAAGTTAGGGTAGTTAGAGTAGTTTTAGTAGTTTTTTAGATAGTTAGTGTTAGTTTTATTAATATGTAATTGCTGTGAATTATGTAATGCAAATTGATTATTAAATGTATAATTATATGGTTATTTGGATATATATATTTTTTATTTTTTTGAATATATTTTTAAAATATTATAAGAGGAAGATTGCAGATAAAGGGTATAAAATGATCAATATTTTATAATAGATTATGGCGAAAATTTAATAGTAAATTCTATAGTGTGCGAATGGGGCTTTTCTACATATAAAAGTATTTTTTTTACTAAGCAAATCTTTTATAATTTCTAATTAAACTTTGCAGAACCAACTTTTCTAATTCTAATAATAGTAAAATCATTAAAATTACATTAGTATATAACACAATATGAGAATTTGTTGATTGTTTACTATAGGGTTTTTTATTATGATCAGAAATGTATAGCATTCCACTTCCATATAAGGCAATTAGTAAAACTGCGCCGATTTTTACTATGAAATTTTGACCCTTTAACTGCGGATTACCCCATAAATATGTTTTTAAAGTCTTATAAATATGTTTTTAAAATATTATAAATATGTTTTTAAAATATATAAATATGTTTTTAAGGTATTATAAATATGTTTTTAAATTGTAAATATGTTTTTAAAATATAATAAATATAGTTTATAAATATAATTAATTTGTTTTTAAAATAGTTTAAAAATGGTTTTAAAACATTTTTAATAATATTATTAAAATAGTTTTAATATGTATTGTTTATATTATTATTATTAAATTATCACTAGTAATTATTATATTTTTTAAAACATAATAAAAACATAATAAATATATAATAATAATATTTTTTATTTTTTTATAGTTTCAGTAAAGTAGGCAGTCCATCACAGAAGCAATTCAAAAAAGATACACCAAGCTCCAAACCCAACCTACTGCAATGATCAACAGTATACTAAATAAACACAAGGATCCAGTTAGATTTAATAATATTAAACTAGATAATAATGTTATCACTAATATATCATTAATTAAAACACATATACAACAGCACTTTAACAACTAGACAGGCTATCGACAAATTAACCAACAGCTCTTTGATACCTACTGGCAAGTGAAGTATATGCCCAAACCACATATTAATACAAACTGGTACAACACAGCCCTTTCAGCCTTCTCCTTGGAGGAAATACTTGCAACACTTAGTTAGCTTCCTAATAATAAAGCATGTAGCTCATCAGGAATAAGCTATAAAATGCTTAAACATGCTGGTTCTAGCTTTATACAAACTATTATATCTTTACTTAACTGCTGCTTGTCTAGTCACCAGATTCTTAAACAATGAAAAAGTGACATATCTATCCAATTTCAAAAAAGCCTATTTTTGACAACAATCTAGCTAATACCCAGCCTATTAGCCTTGTAGAGAATATTAAAAAGCTTATATTAAGTTATTAACTAATCACCTTAGCACTATTCTCTCACAATATTCTCTCACCTTATAACTATGTCACCTTATCTGGAAACTCTACTGCTATACCTATTCATATTCTTATCAATATTATTGAGGATGCCTCATGCAATGCCAAACAACTATAGATACTTTCTCAAGACATAAGTAAAGCCTATGACTCTGTCATTCTTGATCTTTTTCAAAAATCACTACACAGAATTGGCATACCCCAACCTCTTATCAATGTTCTTACTAATTTACTAACTGACCACAACAACCGGGTAATTACAAATTTTGGCCTAACAGACAGCTACTCAGTTAAAAATGGAATTGACCAGGAAGAAACCATTATACCACTCTCTGGAAACTTTACTATAATCCCTTGATCACTTACATCGCTACCAGGAAGTCGGGATATACACTATCCACTTTTTGGCAAACCAGTCTTACATATCCATCTTCAAACCAACTACACACATCCATCTCAGTACTAGCATATATAGATGACACTCTATGGATAACACAGTCCAAAGAAGACCTTGAAGAAATTATAAACACAGCTATATCCTTCTACCAAATAGCCAATATTCAAGTTAACCCTACCAAGTCTACTTTTATCTCAAAGCATCCAGATGCCAATATATTATTCTCGAATACTAGCCTAACTTTAATCACTACACATTAGCTATTCAAATTTTTAGGATGCTGGTTTACAGTCAATAATAAACAAACAGCCCAAATCAAATTAATACAAGAAGAGGCTTTGCAGTTAGCTAGCATGGCTGATTTCAAGAACATTACAGACAAACAAATTATATATATCATCAATATTGTCATCATACCAACAACTGAGTACAGGATGCAAAACATAGTTATTTCTCGCTCAACTTGCAATAAAATACTTGGTAAATACCTCACAATAGCAAAACATAAGTCTCACCTGCCCAGATCTATCCCTAACAGCACCATGCTTAATCATAATATATATAATATTTAAAGTATTTGGGACCGGCAGCTCCAACATCATATAAGCAATTTTAGCAACAGACTTAACAACACCTCTACCTTGGGACTCACTATGCAAATCAGACTACAACTACAAAACAATCTTTGGTCAACAACTAACTTACTTTAGCACCTATATCCTCATATAAATAGCCACAACTGTTATACTACCAACTTTAAGATTATATAGCTCTACAAATTACTTGGTCCTACTATCCAGTTCAATTCAAACATAATATGGCTACAAACAATTAGTAGTAGCAATATACTACTTGTACAGTTTATTACTCATCACCCAAATTATAGTACTTTCAAGCAACAAATCAGGCATAAAAGAATACTCTACCTAAAGCAACTCTGCATAGCTGACAATCAGACCTACTAGAATAAGCACACCTCTCTCCTAGAATACTTCACATCCCAAATGGAAGAAAACCACTATGGTTTTTATATCTAGAAGATATCTTGATAGCAGACACTCTTCACCATACTATACACCCACACTTTCAACCTAAAGGAATCAATTCTTCGCTTATTACACCAATCTTATAAACAAGGCATACAAACCTTGGCTACTTATCTATCAGCAAAGCAATATTATTATTGGTCAGATACAAAGGAAATTTCCTAGCACCAACTCTATATCTATCACTCAATGGGTGCATAATATCGACACAGCTCAGCAAGAAGAATATTCACTTCTACTACATGCTCACCATGTCCAGGATGTGACTTTAACTTTAATCGAATCCCAAATCACTGCACCTTTGAGATCTCTTCTATTTTGTTTACTCAGTTCTTAGACAGGAAAATAGCAGGCAAACATCTCAAACTCAATGCCAACTATATAAACCTTATCTATTCTACAGCTATTAAGCACTCTCTCCACCTACTTTCACCCCCACAGTTACGATTCTAGACCTACCTACTAATTATATTTTCCAAAATAGTAAAGCTTTCCAAAAGCTTATCCAAATTACACTAAATAATTGCTCCTATAGCACACTCACTTTCTATATAGATAGATCAGTAATGAGCATAGATACAGACCAATGCTCAATGGGCATAGGCTGGGTTCAAGTTCAAAATAACCAACCTGTACAAGAATTTTTAGCAGAAATCCAAAGCTGGCCCTCCTCATACAAGGCTAAACTCATGGCAATCTTATCAGCAATTGTAATGGCTCCACGAAATGCTACAGTAGATATCTACACAGACTCTCAATCAGTTATAGCTAAATACAACAGCCTATTACAAACCCCCAGCTATATGCCCAAGTATACCAAATGCAACTTCTGGCCTATATGGCAAACAATCCTTGGCTTTATTAAATCTTACAAAATCTAACTTTAGCTATACAAAGTTACAGCACACTCCAATAACAAATTTAACAATTTGGCAGACTCACTCGCTAAACAGCATTCCCCAACATACACCCTTCTTTTAGCTCATGACAATATCTACAACTCACTTCCTATCCTTATATGGAAAAAGTACTCAATCGAATGCTATAGTAGACATTTTATTAAAAACATATGCCGAGCACAAATTATAGCCATGTAGTCTTCACAAAAACGGAACATGGAATAGGCAAACTTTATAGACAAAATAGACTGGCAAGCTACTTGGCTTTATTTCAACAACAACCAAAAAGCCTCACATAGCTATACTAGTCTCAAACTCAATTATGCAAAAGCATTTAAAATAAAAATACTTTTAACATGTCTTTCTATCTACTATCACTTTCATACAACTTCATACAAACACTTTTACTCCCCTAACTGTTTCAACTGTAACAACCCAGATATGCCCACACATTGGCTTATATGCCTACAATCTAATACTCTCAACCATATAATACTTTCATCTATACCCAAAGTACTTCGTAAA